GAAAAAAAGTTGATGGATTAAATTACTTCAGAAATCTTCAAAAATATAAAATTTGTACACAATCATTGATTTGTTGGACTTCCTCAGAAAAGACTTTTAGAAAGCATCATAACAAATTTAAAGAAAAGAGTAATGGATTGTGAACATTTAAAAACAGGTAGCCAATTTCAAGACATGAATAAATCACAATGTCTCAATTATTTGGAGCCAGATTACTGGCATAAGGCATAATTATTTCTGGTGTGGAACTAGCTCACCCTCATGGGTATACCTTGGGAAACATGCATGTACCTAACAGAGGTACATGCTTGCATATTTGCATGCACCTGCTAAATAGGCAGCCTGCCTAATTGGGAGCTCTGCGTTAGCATTGCAGTCTCCTGGATAGTACAGAAAATACTAAATTTCATCAATGATCACAACTTGCTGGTCCTATGTCATATAGTTGTACAATGCATTTGCAAATGCCATAAAAATACATTTAGTTCTTTTCATTACTTGAATGTGTCTACCTAAAACTGAACAGAAGTTATTAGCAGTTAAATTGTTGCCAATTATATCTAACCTTCTCAAAGAGTTCTTAGACTAATTATTACTATTATATGTATTTCCCATCACCTCCGGTCAAATTATGCCCAAAATTGAACAGAAATAGCTAAGCTGCATAGATTGACCCTGATAAGCATTTTTATGCCCTTAGGTAAAGCTGCATGTTAAACTTGTGATCACTGATGTAGTACAAATTAATTTTCTTTAATATCAACTTCTATTGAACATTTTACTTTTAGAATACCTTTGTGGCATATCAGTGTTTGAATGTCATGATATTATATGCTAAAAGTTATAGAGAATCCTCCAAAAAAGAAGGAAAGAGTCCAGATTTTGTAATATGAAAATATTTTGTCTGTCCCATGAAAGGGCTAAAAGCAGGGTGTGTGTGTGTGGGGGGGGTAATCACACTTTTTCTGCCTGAAAGGATCAAGAAATCAATAACAGTCCCACACCAATACTACTGTTGGAAGAATTATCCTTCTGGGTTCAGTTCCAAGTGGGGAAGAAAGACACTGGAAACATGGTGACTGCTTGGAAAAATGGCTTAATGGTGGACAGGATCACATGCCTTGGGTTAAGAAAGAAGGCAGAGATGCTGGGAGTCCCTTGGTTTTATACCCTCCGTTGTGATTTGAATTTGAGCTTGTATTCTGATTGGTTGTCAGACTCCCATGGGGCATGCAGGGGCAAACTCTGTAGGCTGTCCTGAGTCCCAGGCTTGGTTGAACTTTGCTGGATGATGATGTAATGAAAGGGCTTTGGGCAATTCCTATTATAGCTTTTCCTGGAGTAGATCTTTATTATGTAAAATAGACTAGCCTAGGCCAGAGTAATGGCCCATTAGCAAATGTGGGGAGGGCTGAGTTTCTGCCTCTCTGAGTTTCTACTTTTGTTTTTTAGGGGAAATATTCTGCCTTTTTAGTATATCCTAAAATATTTCATTTTCCTAGGAGAGGGGTGGGTTTTAACTTCCAACACTACTTAGGCAAAAAATGTAGTTATAAAAAGAAATATTCTGAGCACAACACCTGTGTTGCATTTATATTTTGCTCCTGCCAACAACCTGAACTAATGTTTCAGCCTCAAGCAGCTTTGCCCAGGAGTATTTTGTAAACCAAAAATCATTACTTTATCGTTTTAAATATTTTTAGTTCTTACTAACATGAAAGAATCAATCCAAACTGTTGGACTGTGTAGATTTTATGTGGGAAAAGTGTTACACACATCCACCCAAAATCTTATTAGCCGCTGACTGTTAAATAGCCTGGAAGAGTTTGATGATCCTTTAAATTAGCAGCTGTCAGAGAGAGCGGTGGTGTGAGTGATCTTTTCCACTTTGCAAGCCGCTTTTCCTGTGCCCGTGGAGCTCACCGAAGCTGATGGAAGCCCCAAAGGGATGGCTGGAGGAGTGGGATGTCCTGTGGACCATTTGCGAGTGGTGGCTGGCAGAGATTGGCAGGAGAAACCAGGATCTGAGCTGACTGGGAAAAGGTGACCAACGATGGGTGCCTAGATGATCTGATGGCTGGACAGAGCATGCGATTAACAAGCCGAACAATGGTGGTCTGAATTTGATGAAGGTATTCCCCTAGGCTTATTGAGTGAAGCAGTGGAAGGGAGCACATATAGGAGATAGGAGCCATGGACCCTGGTGAGAGGTGAGAGCTGTGAAAGTTTTGACAGCAGCGGCGAGGGTGCTGGACAGAGAAAGACCACCGGGCCATGGCCTATTTGGAACTGAGCCATGTGAAAGGCAGGTTGGTATGCATTCACACAGCTCCACTCACATGAGCGGCAGGCTGGCATTCATACAAGAAGAGCTGCACATGCGCAGGCGCACCAGCCCACCACTTGCCCAAGTGGAGTTGCATGCTTGTGGCAAGGCGCAGTTCCCCTCTCCCCCTCTTAGCCGGGCCACCGAGCTGCATAGGTTGGAAATCACTGGACTAGATGATGGGACCAGAGAGATTCAGTGATTTTCAACTCACCAAGTTCTCTGGCTGAAATCTTTCAGATGAAAATAACTTGCATTTTTGGAGGGTTCTAATCATTTCTCATTACTGTAGAAAGAAGAGGGTTCATTTTGTATGACAGCATGTTTCTGGAAATTGTTGCTTTATCCTCTAAAATGCAACAAAATGGGATGTTTAAAAGAGCTGTGCAGCCATGGAGTCTGTCGATCATTGTGTGCATCTAAGAAATTTCTATTCTGTGTCCCAGTTTGAGAGTTACTAATGCATGACAATTATAAACTGCTCCAATTCAATTCTTTTTCCTGTTTTTGTTTTTAATGAAAATCCATATCGGGGCTATGTTTTCTTTGTAACCCACATAAATTATTCATTTCATCCTGCTTGTTGTTTTCTAGGAATATCATATTAAGTAGTTGGGAGAACCTAGATTTAGGTATCTGCATTTAGTGTATAAAATAGCCTTGAACAGCAAATAGAAACTGGTCAAAGCAAACAGAGAGCTAAAACAGCTGCCATTCCTAATAAATCAATGGCACCTCTTAGAGGTTTCTGTGTTAGAATCCTCCTGTGCACATAAAAGAAAACCCCCAAGTCACAATACACTATGTTATGTAGAAAGCCAAATATCATAGTCCATCACACCATATCAAATATCTTCAGAAAGCTACTTGAACATGGAGTTTGGAAATAATGTAGAGTATTTACAAATTGCATTTGATTATGTGGGAAGAAAAGCAAGGGTGATGTATTGATTAAGATGTTGGAGACTAGCTTCCAAGCCACCTCAACCATGGAATCTCACAATGTAGGAGAAGGCAGACCTAGGGAGAAGGAATAAAGTGACTCATCAGCCTACAATCATTACTTTTCCATAAACGGTCTAAGTCCAACCTCTCCTAAATTCCATTGACTCTTATCTGGTACCAATTTAATATCGTATGTTAGCTGACTAGGTTCTTGTGTATATGCTAGAGCAAAATCTTCTGAACTGGAACAGTGTTGGGCGTGAAGGACCAGGGTGACTTTTGCCACTCACATTCTTATTCCAATAGTAGATCTTTCTCCTGAATCAGATTTTATCCCCCACTATAATGTCTTAATTAATGGCAAGATTTTTCAGGGTTCAGGCACTGTTCCATACATGTATATATAAATAGCATCTAAAACTGATTATTATCTAGTCTTGCATGTCTTGCTGCTCTAGCCTGAAGTTTGTTTGGGGAAAACAAACCTCAGGAAATATCAGCATTCTTGTATAAAACTTGTGCAAGGAAATCAAAAGTTTATGACATTTTAAATTGTACTATGAAGGTACTATAGAAGGTACTATAGAATAGGAATGCCTTCTATGCTGGAAACCATGGGTACCCTGTTGCTGCTTCTGTCATATGCCATGCAACTGGTAATGTGGGCTCTTCAAGAGCTGGGTAAAACTGGTGTGTGTGTGAAATCCTAAGTATCTATCCAAAGCTAGATATATAGATGAGATAGACAAGAGAGAGAGAGGAGAGAGAGGGGGGGAGAGGGAGAGGAGAGAAGAGAGGGAGGGAGAGGGAGGGAGAGGGGAGAGAGGGAGAAGGAGAGAGAGAATAAATTTAATTTCCACTGCAGCAACTGCCCAGTAGCTTTCCATGGGAGTGACTCTGAAATCCCCACCACTTGTATGAAAAAGATGCATCCCAACCATGTCTTAATTGATGAAAGTCAAATGAAGGTATCATTATTTTAGTTAGCCTAGTTGGAGTGGTCCAGTAAATGCTGTGAAAATCTCTAGGTTTAGCTAGGTTGAGCTAACTTTTAGAAGATGTACACAAACTTTATGCAATCCTCAGGTGTATTCACATTCGTATTTAAGCATTTAATTAAAAGTCTCAATGCACAAACGCACAATGTTTGTGATTCATAAGCTCAAGAAGCTCTGATAAAAGTCTCAAAATATAGGAAAAAAGATATCATACTTTGAAAGCAAGATGAAAGACTTAATCTTGCAAGACAAAAGATTACATTATATGTGATTCTTTATCCTTTCTACTTTTTAAAATGGGACAGATGAGTGTATGTAACAAAAATAAGAATCATTGTTATAACCACCATTAAACATTTAAACAAAATACAAATTACTAAGCTCTCCCAGTAATAATTTCTTCTATTTCACACAGGCAGCTGTTGCATTATTTTTCTTACTGAAAATCTAAGAAAAAAAATAGAGAAAGAGGTGTCTTTCCTGGAATTTTGTTTTCTTAAGCAATGAAGTACATAAATCCAATAAATAAATGAAAGTGACTATTTAGCATTATGATACGATCTTTCTTGTTCAAAGTCTTGCCGTCTCTGTGATTATAATCTAACTGTTTTGGAAATTAACATACTGGAAAGATATCTTTGTTTGCTCCAGATTACATTTGCTCGCCAGGAAGAAAGCATGGGATTATTTTCCATAGTGGCTGAGGATAAGACATGTTAGAAGAATTATCCTTCTACGTTCAGTTCCAGGTGGGGAAAAAGACACTGGAAACATGGAGCCTGTTTGCAAGGTTTAATGGTGGACAGGAGGACCACATGGTTTGAAGCTCCAAAGTGAAAAGGGAGGATGATCACATGCTATATGGTGAAGGAAGAGATCAAAAAAGGGCTGAGGTGCTGAGAGTACCTGGGTTTTATAACCTTTATTGGGATTTGAATTGGAGCTTGTATTCTGATTGGTTGTCAGACTCCCATGGGGCCATGCAGGGGCAACTCTGTAGGCTGTCCTGAGTTCCAGGCTTGGTTGAGCCTTGCTGGATGATGATGAACTGAAAAGGGCTTTTGGCAATTGCTATAGCTTTACCTGGAGATCTTTGTTATTTAAAGTATTCTGGCCCAGCCGTTAATGGCCCACCCATTAACAAAGGTGGAGGTGAGCTTCTACTTCTAAGATGAGTTACTGCTTCTGAGTTTTTACTATTTTTTAAGGGAAATATTCTGCCTTTTTAATATTTCCTAGGATATTTCAATTTTCTAGGAGAGGTGTAGGTGCTAACTTCCTACAAACCCTCTTTCTTCCCCAAAAAAGCACATGAGTGTTTTGACAAAAGTTTAAAAGGTGGTCAGATCAGGGAGACTTGATGGGTGCTTTTAATTTTTCTGATGCAAAAGGAAAGGCGTTGAAAAAGAAGCAACAGTGCTTCTGAAGTGATTCCTTCAGTGTCTCCCAAAAACTTTCAACCATGAAGGTCTGGCAGCCTGGGAAACTTCTGTTGTTTTGTTTTTGGTTTTGCTGTATCCAATTTTTCACGCCAATTAATTTTCAGATGTATCGATGTACTTTTTGTGAGCTTACAGTCAGGTTCTAAGCACAAGCCCCTAACATTCTTCACAACCTTTAAATTACAGACTGCCTATTTCCAAGGTTATGGTTACTACCTGCTTAGCTCTTAGCTTCCAGGGTTTGTGAGGCCAAATTGAGGTTAGCTAATGTGTAATCCAGGCTATTTAGTATTTTTAAAATTACACACAATGAGCCCTGGAACTTCTACTCATGAGACCATCAGTGCAACATATCCTGCTTTTCTGAGCAACTGGGCAGCATCATTTGTGAGTCACAGTCAGGACTTGGGGTTTGGAGATTTCTTTTCTGCTATCTCTTCAGGAGTTCCCTGAGGGAGATGCCCCTCCCTTTGGGATTAGCAGGGCAATATGACTACTTGGGCAGCAAAACAAAACAAATCAAAAACACATTAAAAATGAAGCTAGGAGCAGCTTTGTATGGATGTAGGTGAAAGGGGTAACCTCTGTCTAATTCTGAATGGTCTGTCTCTGTGTGTGTGCCTGTGTATGCAGCTAGTTTTACAATACAGATAATATAAACATGCTGGACAATTTTCCCTCCCACCAGACAGAAGTCCAAGGTGTTCAGAACTTGCTGGGCCAGCCACTCTCAAATACAATCCTTACATGAGTACAAACTGGTTGCAATATAAATGATACAAGAAAGAAAGCATTACAATAGATTTGACATTACAATGAATTTCCACCCTCCCCCACATAATCTTTCTAACTATCTTCTGGGGATTGAAAAGAGTCTTTTAGTCTTTTACTGGTCCATCTCAGAGTCCTTTCCTTCATGTATCTGGGTGGCATAGGCTTGGCCTGATGGTATGGGTGGTCAGTCAGGCTTGGGAAGGTCTGCCCCATTCTGGTTTGCTGTAATGACTTTCAGTGGAGGCTGGATCCAAACCCAATTCCTGGCTCCAATGGATGGAGTGTCTCTAGGGGGCAGCATCTGTTTCCACATGAGGCAGGGCTGAAAGATAAAGAACAAGGGTCCTTCCCCTCCTTTGCTCATAATTCTATCAGGAAAGGCTTTGTAAAAGGATTAGAGATTTGGGGGTGGGGTTAGATAGTTTGCAGGCATGAGGAGGAAGAAAAATAACACATCAGTATTGCAGTTACTAAACAGATAAATCAGTTTCAACAAAATGGAGACCCAACAGATGAGAAAAGAAAAAAACTGGATCCACATACTTCAGGAAAAAAATGAAGAGGTAAAATCATTTAAACACAGTAAATGCAAGGATGAAACTTTTCTTGTAAATGAACTTAAAACATTCATTTTAAGAAAAACCTTGGGTTTTTCTTAAAAGCACAGAGAGGAAAGAAAATTGAACTCTGTTCCTCATCCAGTCTAGTTGGCCTGACCAGACTGGGAGGAGACATTTTCTGTCAGTGTTTTTAACTCTTAATAATTTAAAATTAATAGCTGAAGGGATCAGAGACACTTAATAGTTGCAACAGTTACCTCGAGGACACACGAAGACTTAGACACACACACACACACACACATACACACACACACTCTCTCTCTCACACACACACACACACACAAACAAGGACACAGAGAGGGAAACAAAACTCTGAGGTTTACACACACACACAATAAATATCTCAGTTAAATTGGGGAAGGCACAAATCTTAAGGAACAAACCACGTGGTTGCATAGAAGACAGAGAAAGAGACACAGAAAGAAAGAATTTAAAAAAAAATCCCCATGTGATCCTGTTTCATATATTGCCCTTTTCTTTCATTTTTCTTTTCTTTTTTTCAAGTACCTTTATTTACCACGTTGGTCTTCCTGTATCCCTCAGCAAAGCCCATTCTCTACATACACATTTTGCCTTTTTCTTGCTCATGCCGGCTAGGGTTGGCATCTGCCGCTCATCCCAAGCCTCCAATAGCTTTCCCAAGGGGGTTCACTCAGGACCCTCAAACTACTGCTTCAGCTTACAGTGAATTTCATACTTCGACTCTGGAAATAATTATATTTTAATAATACATAATAATCATAGGAGACTCTTTATATCCAAATTAACTTGATTTCTCTCACTGTCTCAACTGTCCCTTAACCATTAAAACAAATCCTTGAGCCACTGAGACTGTAAATGAAGAGTCTTCAAACTTTGTGGAATTTGTGGGATTTGTGGACTTCAACTCCCAGAATCCCTGAGCTAACATGACTGGAGGAGGAATTCTGGGAGTTGAAGTCCACAAGTTTAAAGTTGTCAAGTTTGAAGACTCCTGCATGGGACACACATTGTAACAATATATTGCTAACTTGCACCTCTGCTAAGTTATCAACTGGCAATAGCCAAACCAAGTACCTAGTAAGAGCAATTAACCCATGGATGTCAAACTTGTAGCATCACACTACCATCACGTGACGTATCGTGACATGTTTCCCCTTCACGGAGCTGGGGTGGCCTGCGTGTAATAAATCTGGCCTGCAGGCAGCCAGTTTGACACTCCTGAATTAATCAGAAAAAGAACCTGTTTAAGCACACTTTCCCAAACCCACAAATAGGCTGCCCAGAACCAGATACATAACAGCAAACCAACAGACACCAGGAAGGACAATTAAAATGGACCTCTTGAGAGAAGCACACATTAGAACCAGCACATATACATACCCACATCCTGCCCAAACCCCTACCAAGGACCAGTCCCCCCGAATAAAACAAACTCTCTGTACCCCATTTTCTCTTCAGCCTACCCCCAAGAGCAAACCTCTTTGCTTTGGGGAATACCGTGTTTCTCATATAATAAGACTGGGTCTTATTTTTTTTTGAGCCCCGAAAAAATGGCTAGGCCATCTTTTTGGGGGTGACTTAATTCCCCCCCCCCTTGCATCTTCGGGCGGGCAGGCAGCAATGGCTTGGATGTTGACCTCAGCGTTGGTGGGGCACTTCATATTGAGGTCAACACAGGCAGCACCATATCCAGGTGTGCAACAAAAATACTTCCTAATGGCAAGCCACCCCCACCATTCCCCCCATTTTACATGCTTTAATATAGGCCTTAATTTGGGGGGAGGGGCTTAATTTCATTTCATGCCTATAACACATGCTAGGACTTCCTATTGGGGGAGGCCATATTGTTGGAGAAACAGGGTAAATGCATCCCCTTTCCTCACAATGTGTCTGGATTTCATTTTGATTTGTTCTTTTGCAACCCTAGATCAAGTTGGAACCCACAAATCATTCTTCTAACAAAATCATTAAGAATTCTTTTTTGTGGGGGTCCATATAACTCTCGGTCAATACCATATCTTGAAAGATCCTTCTCAAGCTCCCCACATTAGCAGCTAGTAGTACCTGTTAGGAGATCTTTACCCAGTCTGATCCAGTCTGACTGGAGGCAGTCTGATCCAGCCTACCCAGTCTGGTAGGCTGCTCCTACCAGAGTAGACCATATATTGCATATATTCCTGTCTTTCAAAGAATTCCATCTGCGGGGTGCAAGAGAAGAGACTTTTCTGCTCTGGCCCCAGCATTTTGGAACATCTTGTTCCCTGAAGTGCAATCAGCTTCGATTCTACTTACCTTCCCCAAAAGCCTAAGGCTCCAAGGGCTAAAGGTGTGTGGGGAGAATCATGCTGGTAGTGGTTGATGATAATAAATCCCACTTTCCCATCTTATTCCTTTCCCTCTCATCTTTAATTATAATTTTGTATTCTTTTAATTATAATTTTGTATTCTTTTAATTATACTTTTGTATTCTTTTAATTATAATTTTGTATTCTTGATGTTATAGTTTTACTGTTTTTAATGTGGTAAACCACCCATAGATGTCTTGCAGCAAGATGAGAAGCAAATAAATTTAGTAACTAAATAGTTTCCCAGTTTGGCCACAGAACATCACAGCAATAGATTTCTGAGACTCGCTTTTGAGAAACCCAGATTTCTCATTCATCAACACATTTATTGTTCCAGGTTCAGGCACAGCACAGCCTTCAAGCTGCAGTCTTGTACACTTCTAAGGAAGTTTTGAGGAGCCAAATAAGTTACATAGAAATTAATAAAACAGGTTTCAGAGTGAAAACTTGTGTTTTCCAAATTGATGCACCTATTTATGAATTTTTAAGAAAAGCAACTTGATGTTGTTTTTCTGTCAGAATCAGAATCTTAAATACAATACAAAAACAACTGAGGGATTCATGTTGGAATATTATCTTGATGAGCCAATAATGAATATTAGAACCAGGATTTGAAAACTGTCATGTAGAAAAAATAAGTATCTAAAATGTAGTGGTAGACATTTGACTAAGCTTAGATCTAACATAACATAGCAATTGAAAGTAGATGCCTGCAATCAATATTACACACTTATCTATCTGCCAGGAGATACGCAGCAGCAAGAGCTAATGATTGCTTACTTGTCTAATTCAGTACATTTTCTCTCCTTTTTTAGGTTTAATTATTCATTTCTTCAAATAGTTGTTTTAATTTAATTTATAAATGTTAGAAATTCTGTTTATAAAAATCACCACACAGAGAAAACAAAGAATACAATCACCATGTGCTTTACTGCTCAACTATATTGTTCTGTATGGACATTTCCATTCTCGAAATCCGGCAACCTGGATTGGTCAAAGCACACAGCCACCGGATTGGTCGAGTGCGCGGCACTGATTGGCCATTCGGAATTAACCGCGATTGGCCGAGCCGATCGCGGGCGATTCAAACGGCTGTCATTGGCCGCAGCGCCCGGCACCAGATCCATTTAAGCCGCGGCTTTTCCCCACTGACCCCACTTGTGTTTTCCCTTAATAAATGAGCTGAACTCAAGTCACTGCCTCGCGTCTTTTGTTCGTATCAGCCGATATGACACTGGCGACGAGGGTGGGATCCTGAAGCAAGTCCCACACCGCACGTGGCACACGGAACTGCAACCGGCAACATGGCCAGCGGCGCCGTGCCACCCGCTCCCTTCAACCAAGCTGCTGAGGACTGGGAATCCTACATAGACAGATTCCTCATGTTCTTGGAGAGCAGCAATCTCAAGGACGCGAATGGGCAGAAGAAACGGGCCGTCTTCCTAACTCACTGCGGGCCCGCGGTGTTTAAAATGGCGAAAGCCCTCGCAAAGCCACTCGACGTGAAAGCGATGGACTGGGCTGATCTCGAACCCCTGCTGCGAAGTCACTACGCGCCCGCCGTGCCCACCCTCATCCGCCGGCACAAGTTCTACCGGTGCGATCAAAAAGAGGGCGAGAGTATCAGCGATTTCATGGCTGATCTCAGGGACCTCGGGGGCCTGTGTGGGTTCACCGATCTCGACGAAGCCCTGCGAGACCGCGTCATCCTCGGTCTCAAAGACCCCATCCTACAGAGCCGGCTCATGGCAAGGGGCGACATATCCCTCACCGACGCCCTCGCCGAGGCCACCGCAGCAGAAGCGACCCAGAGATCAGCGGCCCGAATGCGGCAAGTGAGCATCGCGGAGCGTCCAGCCACACCCGAGACGACTCCGACCCCCGAGAGGCAGCCCGAGACCAACCGCCGAGCGACCGCATCCACACACCACGGTGAACTCAACTCCCCCTCTGACTCCAAGGACTCCGAGGAAGACATCCACCGGCTGCAGGCGGGGCGCGACCGGTGCGAGCAGCGGAGCCGCAAATCAAAGTTCCAATGCGCCGGTTGCGGCGGCGAACACCCGCGGTCGGAATGCCGGTTTCTCGATGCGATATGCCGGCATTGCGACAAGCGGGGCCACATCGCCAAAGTTTGCCGGTTCAAACGAAACTACAGCCCCCGGCGCCGAGACTGCAGCCCACGGAGACGCGACAGCACCCCCCCGAGGAACCGAGACCGGAACCCTGAGAGCCGATGGAGCCAGGAAGCAAGGAGCCGACGTTTCAATGAGACCCACCAACGTGAGGAAACACACCAGACGGTCATCGTCGGCCATTCCTCCAACTGGGATGGCCGAAAGGTCCACGTGGAGGTCGCCATTGAAGACCGCCCCTGCAAGATGGAGGTGGACTCCGGGTCCTACCTATCCATGGTCGCATCACGGGAAATCAAGCATCTAGTGCCCTCCATACAGCGGCGCGAGCTGGAAAGCCAGAAACTCATCCTCAAGGACTACCATGGAAACCGTATCCCCGTGGTAGGAATCGGACATTTCAAAGTCACGTTTAAAGGGCACACCGAAATACTCCCCCTGACTATC